AGCGGGCGTCTTCAGGAATATAACTAAAACTGGGCTGTACATGGCATGCATTGATACACATGTCAAGGGGTGAGGAGTAATATCGTGAAAAGCTGTGCCACACTTGTTCACGTCTCCCCGCCTGACAACATAGCCCTTATTAAGACAGCAGCTGTGGCTTATTGCAATACAACAGATTGAGTTCCACCAAATATACTGCTCGACGTTTGATGTGGATATTCTGAGTGGGGCCTGTTGACATACAAATATACTGAACAAAATGGTTAAGGGCCATGAATATTTTTAGGATACGTTTTTGTATTAAATTAAATTTTCATTAAAATATGCCCCAAAATATTCATAATCCCTAATACTTTTTGTTCAGCATAGTTTCGATATTGGCATGAACTGACACATTTTCAGTTTCGTTTAAAATGAGAAATAACACAGTGTCCTTTTGAGCGTTTGAACTCGGACTACTTGACTACCAGACTCTACATAAGGGAATGTGCGAATGCTGTTTTACACCACAATCAGCAATATTTCAGCCATATCACAGGGGCCTGTAACTAATTCAGCTGAAACAATGGTTGGTAGCACCCAGTGCCCCACTCGTCAAGGCACAGTGACATATAATCAGAAAGATCAGACATTGTAATAGCCGAGAGCTGCGACCCAACATCATGTCTCCACTGTAGGACCCCATCGCGGCTCGCGGCTAACATTGTAAGCACTGTTCCTCGCTGTCCGGCCCTCACGACAAGCATTGGGTACATAGGGCCTATTCTAAGCCGCAATCACAATGCGGTGGCATAATGAATGAGTGATGTTCCATGCTCGCTGTAGAAACCCTACAGTTACATTAGTACAGGTGTAAAACATTGAGGATGGTGTCTACACGATGTCGTATCCATGATGGAAACCCAGTTTTTGGCACACGTTAATATAACCACTCCGTCACTCAGCAGCATGCACTCCCAAACACACATCAAATCAATTGACAACAATGAAATAAAACTCTGGTAGTGCATGTCTGTTATATAAAATGTATTATCAGAAACGTTCTTAGAAAATCGAGATTGTTAGTGAAATTGTTTTAGAATGAAAATGATATCTGTCAAATATTTCTTTAGTGGTGGATTGAAATTGGAATTCCCATTCCAACTGGGAATTCAGACATTAGAAGATAACACGAAACAAGCACTGGAACAAAATGAGGAGAGGTCAAACAAGCACTGTATACACACAGGTACATGTCTTATCAGTCAGAACAAATTTGGCCCAACTAACGGAGTATAATCACACATACATGTCATATCCGTCAGAACACACATGGCCCAACTAACGGAGTATACACTCACGGACATGTCAGTGCAGCCGTCAGACCACACATGGCCCAACTAACTGAGTATACACTCACGGACATGTCAGTGCAGCCGTCAGACCACGAATGGCCCAACTAACTGAGTATACATTCGCGTACATGTCATATCCGTCAGAACACACATGGCCCAACTAACGGAGTATACATTCACGTACATGTCATATCCGTCAGAACACACATGGCCCAACTAACGGAGTATACACTCACGTACATGTCATATCCGTCAGAACACACATGGCCCAACTAACGGAGTATACACTCACGTACATGTCATATCCGTCAGAACACACATGGCCCAACTCACGGAGTAAACACTCACGGACATGTCAGTGCAGCCGTCAGACCACACATGGCCCAACTAACTGAGTATACATTCACGCTCATGTCATATCCGTCAGAACACACATGGCCCAACTAACAGAGTATACAATAAGGTATATTCCAGTATAGCTGTTATACCAGGGGCTTTTCAAACTGGAGCATGCATTTTCGCGAACCTAACCGCGATCTGGCATTAGACTTTCAGTAAACATTTCACAAGACCCTGTTCAAAGGTTTTGATACTTTCATAAGGTCCTATTGATCCATTCATGTAATTTCCATCACTGCTTTGACGTTTACGCCCAATGGAATCTGTTTCGACGAAGACAAAATCGAGACTGATTATTCTCTGGCGTTGAGGTTTTGAATTATTGAAGAGTATGTCAACGATCAACGAGCAACACTGTACACAGCGTTCCCATAGTGGGCTTTGAGTTGATTCATTTCACCATAATGCATAGAATTAGTTTAAGTCATGACAAACGCGCACTTAAATGAAACAGCCGGATGATTTGTTTTAACTAAGAATTGTTCCAAATGTGAAAAGTGAGTGAGTAAGAGAGTGAGTTGCGATTTATTAGCATTAATATATCATACAATTATATACCGCAGGTATCAAGGTTCTAGTATCTACCCAAATGAGGTTTTATTTGTTCCCGGCCAGAGGATGCGTTTGCATTCCAGTTATCATTCTCAACTCCCTGGAGAGTATACAACCCAAACTGCCTACGGGCACGTTTTGTCTCATATGTTTACCCCTTTGGTGAAACCCACGAGAAAGGAAATGGTGCTGACAAACCTTGAAGCATTATCAGGGCGAACCGGGATTCGAACCGACAATTATATGATTTTGGCGTGCCCAAGGGACGTAACTCTACATAGCGAATTGCAGCGGCTTACATGACTGGGCGCGCCCCTGGGGTAAGTTGGAACACCGTGTACGAAAGCATTGTGGTGAACCACCGACATTGCAACAGCTTGAGATAGGATGCGTACTTGCGTAAAATACGCTTTAAATAAACTGAAACACGCAAACAAATCAAATCCTAGCGCATCAAATACGCAACAAAAACTATAAATACGCTACTGAAATACCATAATGCGTATATTACATCCATTAGATAAAACGACTGCGTGTATTGCAACTTTCAGATAAAATGATTGTGTATCAGTCAATCGCGAAATTAACTTAACGACAGTGACATTCGTAAAAGCTCGTGCGGCGATTATACTCGAATATCGATATATTTCAATGGAAAAGCACATCGTACCTAGACAATGCATCTTAAACTGTCGCTGATTGGTGATTAATAAATAACGCCTTTCTTAAAATAGTGGTTTTGGAAACAAAAATGGCTTCCCGGAGAGGGAGCCACAAGACACAGACGGTTGTACTACTATTCATTTTGTTTTATATGATTTGCAGGGATTGTGATGAAACAGGTTTTCAAGCTTAAATTCCCAAATGTCAAGAAACAGGTGGGTAAAACAATTAGAAAATTGTAGCTATCCAATCAAAATCAAACCACCGGGTAAAATACCCAAATAACAAAAAGTTTATCTTGAGCTCTGCACTAGAGGCCGTGTGGGCTAACGCATCCCCAATGTGTAACCCGTGCTCTCATTTTGTCCAAGAACACGAGGTATCAGCACTCAACTGACGCTAATGATGAATACACGAGAAATTGAGTTCTAGTGACTTTGACCTTTGTCATTCTCTTATTGGACACGTGTCCGCTGCTGTCCTGTTTGCAATAAGTAATCACTAAAGTGTTCAGACACGCAGTAAATGTGTGTTACTTCCCACACCAAAAATCTGTTTTGTACGCGTTTCTTATTATGAGGAAAAAGAGTGAGTTGGCTTTAACGCCGCTAAGAACGGTATTCCACTGCGTGTCAGCACAATGTGGGAGGTAAGTCCAAAGTGATCTGAAATCCACGAGCACGGGTATGGTGCTGACAAACCTAAAAACATAATCGGGGCGAATCGTAGCGAACAGTAGCGAACCCCAGATCAAAGGTTTCTGGCGTGCCCAAGGGGTGCAACTCTGCACAGCGATTTGTGGCGCCTTATTGACTGTGTCAGCCGTGCTCTCTTTGACGAATAAAGAAAAATATGGACAAGTGAGATACATTTTGGACTTTTGCTACCTCCCCGTGGGCAGTATAATGGTGTCATGTGCTATACGCCAACAAACATATATGGCTATTTTTCCACTTAACTAAAGTTCCATTACCGGAGACATACATGTCTGTGATGAAGGATATGGTATATAGTGAGCACTGTTGAGCTTAGGACATTGTTTTTGTCTCTGAAGCGTTAAACTACCTTGTTTTACTTTGCGAAGCCCAACGGATATTCTTATTCACATGCATAAAGTGACAGTTAAGCAAAAACGGGATCACAATTGGTGCCCATGGGGATGCCTACTTCTTGCCTAAATGTCTTACCCAAAATTGTACATAGATGTTACGAGAAAGTTCAGTGTTTTACATATTGTTTTCTCGGTACCCTTCAGGTGGCATTTGTTTTCCTTTTTGACAAAATGCCCTGAACCTCTGAAGATCGACATGTAACTGTATCTTTGGTCACCGCGTTTTGTGACAAAAAAAACAGGTTTAGAGTGGTATAGTGTTGTACAAAGTTAAATAATCAAATGATAGAAATGAACGTAGTTCCTTTCTGAGATTGTAAAAAGTCAAGCAAATCCTTCGAGTTACTTAGAAGTCCTTCCTTGAATGTATTATGGAGTATGGTTAATCTTTGAGACAGGGATTTGGTGGTACATTTGCTGGACCCAGCAATATCTATCTCTTTGTGCGGATTTTCATGGAACTTTGGAATCCAGTACAAAAGAGAAATGGACACGTCTTCAGGTTTCAGAGTCAAGTCAAAAGTTGATAGTACTGATGCATGGTTTTGGCAAATTTCTTTCTCAGTTAACATACTGGCCTTACGTGTGGCATTATTTGATATGTCACTTATAGCAAGTTCTTTGGTCAAACAATTAATGTAGTGATACTTACATCTAATGGTTATGTTATCTGAGGCCTTGTCTGAGGTTAGCCAGACTTTTGACGAGAGCTGGCTGAGACAGAATGAATTTAAAAGACGCAGATAATATTTAGGTTTAACTAGTACTATACGTCCAGAATTTGTAACATTTTATGTTCTTTTCACTCCTTCTTGCGGAGGTGTAAACCAATCCAACCACACAAAAGTTGCATCAGCATTGATCTGTAACAGATACATAATGGACATTCATGGAACAAGTTAGAGAGAGCAACGTTACATTAATAGTTAATGGTGTCTCACCTAAAGGTCCGGTCCATGAGCCGCTCGTCATACAAGCTGGTAGGAACTTGGGCTCGAACCGGGGCAGTCATCGGGAGGTGCCATATAGGTTATCCACTCGGTACTGTAATAAATGTATCCACTGATTCTCCATTTGTCCACGTAATGCTGTACATTCGCTACATTATGCCAGAACAGCTTTCACAGAGCGATGTTCCTCTTGTTGCGTGGACTGTGCAGCGATACGATCACTGGTAGCCGTATAGTCACCACTATCTGCCGTACACACCACAGCGTCTGCTACTCTGCAATAACAACGTAAAAAAGAGTTGTATGTCAAATCTACTCAAACGCTAGCCGACAGCAAGGCTGTATCTAACGCGATCGAACGGTGATAAATGAAGGGCGCTTCCTCGTGTTGAAAGTACTAGTCAGTGTTCAATGAATTATTTGCCTTCGGCTTATCAACAGGGACTAATGTTTAGAGCCCTCGTTGGGCCGATCCAAACGTTGCAGTCGATGCGGTTCTATATGAGTTCACACCCAAACATTTCAATCGTTATCGCGGTAAGCTTCTCCCAACACTAAAACAATTGTGTGGGGTTCATTCATTTAGCAAATGTCGCAATAACAGAGACGGTGAACGCACATCACGTGATCGATCCTCTGTCCCCCCGAGCCAAGTCGGCGTTAAAACTAGAAGCGTGATTACCCCTGAGATGTGGGGGAATTAGTACAGTCAAAGCTATCATCATTCCGTCACATCAAGGCACGCGGGCTTGGTCCATATGCTTACACAGTACTGTACACTTAACCGCAAGCGTACCACTGAAGGTCCGGGTTAGAATAGGTCTTCAGCCACCCATGCTAGCCGTAAGAGGCGACTAACGGAATCGGGTAGTCAAGCTCGCTGGCTTGGTTGATGCATGTCAGCGTATCCCAATTGCGTAGATCGATTTTTTTATGATATGAATCACTGGATTGTCTGGTCCGGTTGTCTGGACTACATTATTTAAAGGCCGCCGTCATATAGATGGAACATTGCTGAGGGCGGCGTTAAACAACAACAAAGAAAACTGTACATGAGCTCAGTAGAAGCTGTAAAAAAGATGACCAAATTCGTTATTTCTTCACACAATTTACACCTTCATATCATCAGTGTGTCATGCCGTCTAACGTCTGTTTTCTTGAGCGCTTTCAATATATACATGACGATGTAGCATTTCTTGTCTCCGCAGATTGAATAACAGTTTCTCACGAATATTACAGTTTCACAAGACAGAAAAGAGGACTGGCGATAGACTTAAAAGGGATAAGGTAACACTACGTCATTCGTCATAAAACGTTCGATCGATAAGACGCCGATAACTACATTGGAGAACATGGATTTATGAAACATAATGTGGGAGAAAACGTTTACAGTTTGCTTTGCGTGTTAGTTCAGAAACAAATACGTCTGTTCGAGCAGGTTAAAAGCACCTAAATAAGCACATGAAAATGCCCGACTGCTTGAAAGTCAAATTATTATATTAACTGAATCCAAAAGATAGTCAAACGCTGTAACTAGGATCCAAATATGGTATCCCTTAATTGTTAGATCTGTACAAAGTTTAAGAAGCTAATTTCTGCATTATAACTACATTACATGCGCACTGCAACGTCATTGCAGGTATATTATAACCAGTTACATAGTGAAATAGTGACATTGCAACTTTATAACTTGTAGTTTAAGGGTACACTACAGGCACATATTAAAGTTATATGACATAATGAATCGTCTACCAACATTATTTCACATCTATATTACAAGGCTATCACATCTATATTACAGGACTATCACGTCTATATTACAGGACTATCACATCTATATTACAGGACTATCACATCTATATTATAGGACTATCACATCTATATTACAGAATCATCACATCTATATTACAGGATCATCACATCTATATTACAGGTCTATCACATCTATATTACAGGACTATCACATCTATATTACAGGACTATCACATCTATATTACAGGATCATCACATCTATATTACAGAACTATCACGTCTATATTACAGGACCATCACATCTATATTACAGGACTATAACATCTATATTACAAGACTATCACATCTTTATTACAGGACTATCACATCTATATTATAGGGCTATCACATCTATATTACAGGACTATCACGTCTATATTACAGGACCATCACATCTATATTACAGGACTATCACATCTATATTACAAGACTATCACATCTTTATTACAGGACTATCACATCTATATTATAGGGCTATCACGTCTATACTACAGGACTATCACATCTATATTACAGGACTATCACATCTATATTACAGAATCATCACATCTATATTACAGGATCATCACATCTATATTACAGGACTATCACATCTATATTACAGGACTATCACATCTATATTACAGGATCATCACATCTATATTACAGGATCATCACATCTATATTACAGGATCATCATATCTATATTACAGGATCATCACATATCTATATTACATGACCATCAAATCTATATTACAGGATCACCACATCTATATTACAGGATCATCACATCTATATTACAGGACTATCACATCTATATTATAGGACTATCACATCTATATTATAGGATCATCACATCTATATTACAGGACTATCACATCTATATTACAGGACTATCACATCTATATCATAGGACTCTCACATCTATATTACAGGATCATCACATCTATATTACAGGTCTATCACATCTATATTACAGAACTATCACATCTATATTACAGGACTATCACATCTATATTACAGGATCATCACATCTATATTACATGACCATCACATCTATATTACAGGACCATCACATCTATATTACAGGACCATCACATCTATATTATAGAACCATCACATCTATATTACAGAACCATCACATCTATATTACAGGGCTATCACATCTATATTACAGGATCATCACATCTATATTACATGACCATCACATCTATATTACAGGACCATCACATCTATATTATAGAACCATCACATCTATATTACAGAACCATCACATCTATATTACAGGGCTATCACATCTATATTACAGAACCATCACATCTATATTACAGGACTATCACGACTAAAACACAGGACTATCACGACTAAAACACAGGACTATCACGTTTTGGTCTTGGTTTGGTCATATGGCTGGAATATTGCAAACCAAACCAAAACCAAAACTTGGTGTAGTCGTGATAGTCCTGTAATATAGATGTGATAGTCCACTATTGTAGTCGTGATAGTCCTGTAATGCAGACGTGATACAATACAGGACTACCACGTCTATAATACAATACTCTCGCGTCTACATTACAGGACTATCACGTCAGGCGTCAGCGACAAAAAAAATGTATTGTTTATTGAATCTGTCAAAGAAAGCAACATTGTATTTCATGTCCATCACTAGGAGAGACGTCATTGACCTTTCTTCTGACTTTCTTAGCTATATTATAGCTACTTAGAAATAATAGAAACTTTTTCCTGAAAGTCTGTCACAATATATAAAACGTCGACGACAGGGAATAATCATCTTCGATTGTCTGCCGAAACAAATTCCGATGAGTAAAAGGCGAAAAAAATTATGATTGGTTGGTTGGTTTGTTGTTTAACGCCGCACTCAGCAATATTCCAGATAAATGACGGCGGTCTGTAAATAATCGAGTCTGGACCAGACAATACAGCCATTGACATCACGAGCATCATGCCATGCAATTGGGATCGGTGACGTGCGTCAACCAAGTCAGCGAGCCTGACCACCCGATCCCGTTAGTCGCCTCTTACGACAAGCATAGTCGCCTTTAATGGCAAGCATGGGTTGCTGAAGACCTATTCTACCCCGGATCTTCCCGGGTTTCTTCGATGAATGCATGGGCTGGGGCGGGCGTCTTCAGGAATATAAATACATCTGGGCTGTACATGGCATGCATTGATACACATGTCAAGGGGTGAGGAGTAATATCGTGAAAACCTGTGCCACACTTGTTCACGTCTCCCCGCCTGACCACATAGTCCTTAGTTCTACCCCGGATCTTCACGGGTCCGAAAAAAGGATGAATATTATATGAATGGATCATCAAAAATCAGTGATGACACCAGGTGTAAGCATGTCCTGCTCTTCCGATAGCAACGGCCACTTTGCATACAAAGTATGTGTTTGTTCGCTCCCAACATATTACACGAATGTCACATGCGGTTAAACACTTCAACGGTAACAAGAGAACCTGACACTTGTTACGCCCAAAATACTGGATGTCCGAGCAGTCAGTTAGAGGCACCCAAAACAAGGGACCCTACACTAAACGCTGCTTTGAACAATATCTCAGTTAATTCACAGTGTTAGTTTGATGTCGGAGGAGAGCGCGAAGTGATGCAGGTCTTAGACGCTTAATTACAACTTTGGTGAAACCCACAGGCGTCGGTTTGGTGCAGGCAAACCTGGAATCTTAAATTCGAACCAACGATCATAAACACCTAGGAACGCGATTCTGTACAGCGAATTGGGGCGCATACGATTGGGTCACCCCATCCTTTCGAGGGAAGCGGGTCCACTAGCCTATATCAAAGTCTAGTTTCCACAAAGTAGGTTTTGGTACAGGCTAGTGGACAGTCTTGCCTCGGGAAGATGGCGTTCCCCGTGCCCCGTAATTTCTTAAAGATAGAATGACGGTTCGAATAAATTACGTAGTTACAATACATTTAGCAAATGATGAGCTATGCGTGTTGTATTATGCATCAATATAAAACGTTTTAAACTCTCCGGGATAATGACAAAATAATACCATCAATACTGCGCGTGGGGGATTTGGGAGGGTTTGTTTGTCACTTGTATGACTGTTATTTAGTTTAGGTCTTAAAACGCTCATCACGAAACGCCATTGCCATCACTCAATCTAACTATGACACCATAAAATGTGTTAGAACATGTTTTCTCTACGTTCTTTATGAGATCAAATAAATACAACATGTAGCCAACGACAGTTCGACTCCCTTGATGAGAACCATGAACAAAATGCAAGAAAATTACATCTAAACTATTAATGAGATATCACCAAACCCATGTGAGACTCAATAAGCACTTGAGTAAAATGGCATTCAGATCATTAGTGATCCCATTGCGATTATACCTGTGCCTGCCCATATTCATTTGGTGTTCGGTGCAGATAAGGTACTGTGCATTGGTGTAGCAAATATGCATTATTTAACACTGGCAGCCAGGGCGCATGAATGAGTAATTGTGATAAAAGCTCTACTTAAAAGAACCAGAATTTTATATCAGAACCAGTTGCTGCTGTGGCACGGCAGATTGAAACGTGATACAACATTTAATAGAAGCAAACATTGACTCCATTAAACACAAATGATGCGCATCACGAGAAAGGAAAGATTAATATTAAATTTGAAATATTTTAACATTGGTCACGATCAATTCGAGAGTCGTGTGATTAAAGGATCCACCTTTTAATACCAGGAAGGGAGACGTGTCAGAGTGACTTATTGTCGGTCCTTTTTTATTTTTATCTGTAAAACTGTAAAAAGAAGAGCCGAAATATAAATATTGAATTTATCACAAGATATTGTTTTACAGCACAAAAAGCATGTACAACCTACTATTTACATATGAGGGGGTTGGAGTTGGGGTTTTGGTTGAGGGGTTTTGTATTGGGCTGTGTGTGTTGGGGGGGGGGGGGGTGCTGTAAATTGTGGGTGCCTAATGCGAAATAAGAACTATTCAATTATTCATTTCACTGAACTATTTCACACACCATAAATAATGTGTCATTGATGAAGACGCTGAGTTTTACGCTTATAGAAACACGGATATCTCCAACAAAACGCATAACCAGATTTTGAGGAGTGATGAATTATTGCAAACAGTACACAAGTGGACACATGTCTGATATGAAGAAGATAACAAAGTTCCAAGTGGTAGGACTCATATGTGTCCGCCATTAGCACCAGGCTCTTGGACTTAATGAGAGTACGGATCACACGTTGGGGCTGTCAGCCGGCTAGGCATGTTGTACATGTGTAAGCTGTTGCAGTGTCTGCGGTTGAGGATGATTGCGTTTCTCCAGCTTCTAATCGTCCGACAATGTTAATTCTCTGTACTTGGAACAGGATTGCAGTCATACCATGGCGTGTGGGAAGAGGTGAGGTGAGGTGAAATTGGGTTTAACGTCGCGTCCAAGATTATTGCACTTATATAGCGACGTGCATGTACGTGTGTGTGTTTGTGTGGCTGCTTGTACTGGTCCGGACGGATTTATAGTGCTAGCCCCACTGAGATACCATGCCGCATTTTAACATGAATACCCCACTCAGACACAGTATACTGACTGACGGAGGCGGTCTAATGTGGGAAGAAAGCAGTGGTGCAAGTCTCAGATGTTTACCACTTTGGATAAACCCAGGAGCACGGTATGGTGCTGACAAAACCATAAACAATCATAGCGAAGCGAGATTCGACCAAACAATCAAAGTCTTCTGGCGTTTCCAAGGGACGTAACTCTACACAGTGAATTGTGACGCCTGAGACGACTGGGCTCCCCATGTTCCGGCCAATTCACAAATTTTCACGTGCAGAACATGCACGGGCATCGATCCGTTGTTTCACCTTACTGTATTGTTACGTTCAGTTGATGGGTCATGTCGTTGTTGCATTTTGATGATTCCAACAAATTATCAATTTGGTACGAAATGACATATGTATGCAACTGCCTACGTGGTCTTGTGGTTCTACTAGCGCCTGCTCGGAGAGCAGAAGGTCAGCGTCAGATTCTCGGCCGCGTCATACCAAAAGACGTTAAAAGATGGTACTTGTTATTACCCTGCCTGGCGCTCGGCATTAAGAGGCTGAAAAAAGTATCGGTCGGCTTGGAGTCAGTATAGAGCGATTTTGCTACAGAACAATATATATATAAGGCTGAAAGTGTCCAGTTCACAAGTCAGTATCGTGCATGAACACTATCAGCTTTTGATTCGTTTGTTTAACGCCGCACTCGACAATATTCCAGCTATATGACGGCAGCCTGTAAACAATCGAGTCTGGGCCAGACAATCCAGTGATTATCATCAGGAGCATCGATGTACGCAATTGGGATACGATGACATGCATCAACCAAGCCAGCGAGCCTGACCAACCAAACAAGCTACTCGCCACTAACGACAAGCATGGGTTGCTGAAACCAGTGCAAACGATCTCCACGGATCGGGTGTTTTGTTGTGAAGTCTGTGACCACATGTGAAACGTGAGGGCGAGCTCCTGCTGTAAAGTGATGTGACGTCCATGGGTCAGAAGGAACAGGACGGATCACTTTGTAACGGAACCGTACATCTGTCACATTGCCAACTCAGCACTCGTTTTAACTTGGGGACTTCTATTTCAGACTACGCTTGAAAAATTTGTTGACACAGTTCTCGATTAAAATTGCTAACTGAACAAACGAAGATTTCGGAATGTCTAATATATGGTTGAGATTGTATGGTAATGCTTCCCACGTACTGTGCAACGCCTATTCCGTTCAAATGTTTCTCCCATGGAAGCGAGAGATAGACGATGATTTTGACGGAATCACCCGAACGGGCCTTAACTGTCGTTCGGAATACCCCGTGTTAACGTTTGCGAGGTTGCATAATTAGAAAACACATTCCGACTGTCACTTTCATGATCTGGTAAGCGACGCTTTGATTAGTCGGATGAAAGGTCATTCTGGCGGGACCCGTAATGGGATGTCCTCAGATCTTTGTTTAGCGATAGCGAGAACTAAGATCTGATTTAAATGAGCTTGTAAGGTTTACGGCCGTCAAAAACGATTCTTTTCACAGTTTAAACACTTCAACGAATTATTCTGTGTTTGAACTGACTCAGCCCCACGTGTACTGTCAATGTGGGACGATTTCTTACTCATGGGATACAATGACCGGGATGCACATGCAATTTTAGGGTCATCATGGGCAATCATGACAAAGTGTTTGTACATGTGGTCATCATGACATATTTATTTGTAAAGGGATTTTTTTTTGTGGTGCACTCCTCTTTCCAAAATCGCCAATGCGGTTCTAAAAGGAGTAAATGGAAGCATGCATCCATAATCGTTTTTGTAGGCTTTGTTTGTTTAACGCCGCATCCAGCGATATTCAAGCTTTGTGATGGTGGTGTTCAAATAATCCAGTCTGGACCAGACAATCCAGTGATTGACATCACGAGCTTCGATCTATGAAATGGGTTTGTTTGTTGTTGTTGTTTAACGCCGCACTCAGCAATATTCCAGCTATATGACGGCGGGCTGTAAATAATCGAGTCTGGGCCAGACAATCCAGTGATTGACACCATGAGCATCGATCCATGCAATTGGGATACGGTGACATGCATCAACCAAGTCAGCGAGCCTGACCACCCTATCCCGTTAGTCGCCTCTTACGACAAGCATAGTCGGCTTTTACGGAAAGCATGGGTTTCAGAAGACCTATTCTACTCCGGATATTTCTGTAGGCAGCAGAAGGGAGTGCTTATACGTATATCACTTCATAATAATCGTATACATGTATATGCATCCGTTATCATAATCATTAAAACAATTCCTTTGATCCCTGTTGAAATAAATAACAGCCGAAATAGGCCTCATGCTGTTATGTATGTATATCGTTCTATGCCGCAGTCATGATTGACAGGGCGTCATCGTGCTCCGTTGCCAGATGACGTTGCTCACAATTCCGACCACTGGTTTGCCTGGTCCAGGGTCGGTTATTTACAACACGCCGTCATACAGCGAGTGAGTGAGTGAGGTTTTACGCCGCTTTTAGCAATATTCCAGCAATATCACGGCGGGGGACACCAGAAATGGGCTTCACACATTGTACCCATGTCGGGAATCGAACCCGGGTCTTCGGCGTGACGAGCTAACGCTTTAACCACTAGGCTACCCGACCGCCCCGCCGTCATACAGCGATTACAGGTGTGGACAACATAACACCATCTCCAAAACATCAAGTATCAAAGTTTGAATCCATTCTGCGATAACCGGTTTCCAAGGTGAATTGAAATTCCAACAAAGGCGATATCATCGCGGTATACTCGGGGGCATCTCCACCCTATTGGAGAACATAAGTGTTGGTACTGGGGGCCAAACGAGTGAGTGATGTGAATTTAAGTCCGTTTTAAACAGTATTTCAGTTATATCTGGTGTTTCAATTTAATGTGAAAGGAAATACCGAAGTGTTGCAGGTCTTAGAGGTTTACCACGAGCAGATATAGGTATGGTGATGACAAACCAAAGACCATTACAATCATGGCGGATATGAGACTAAAACGGTGCTTTTGTGAAAGGTTCCACGCCAAAACATCAGTTGTTGGCCATCCAGACAGAATGGGCAGCTATGATTTATAGGGGTTTGTTTTCAAAATTTCACCCACCCAGTAATGTAAACTGACCTTATTTTCAATATTTAATCATGTTTTGTTTTTCCACATCATTATTTCCTGAATGCACCCACATATATTTTGAAGTAAGTGATATTTGGTGTCGAACTGGGGTTGGTGTGTTTAGCGTCCTGTCCTCTGAAATCGAGATGCCTAAGACAGCTAAATTTGATTTGTATTGATTGACACCAGAAATGGGCTTCCTACATTGTACATATGTGGGGAATCGAACCCGGGCATTCGGCGTGACGGGCGAACACTTTCACCCCTAGGCTACCCACGCCCCTGCAGCGGAAAAAAACCTCCGCCCGTATCCCCCCTCCAAAAGTTATATATTTGGGAATGGGATATCGGCGGAAGTCTAACCAAAATAACGTTACAAATAGAAGTGCATTTGGTCTCGTGTAAACTTAAAACGACTGAACAAAAAAGGCACCAAGATGAATATGAGATGTACTTCACCATCCCAAAGAAGGGGAGACAATCATGGTTGTTCGAAGCACTTCCTGCCCAGGTATCGGGTATCCAGACAATTGCGGGGTAGTTAAGACCAAATGCGATGCAAGCATAGTTCATACAGTACTAAAGACCTTACCTGGTCCATTGGGAATTGTGAAGTCTCGAAATATGTTAGTCAATGTGTAACTTTTGGTTGAAATACACATCCGTACCTGTGGCAGCATGTGTTACCAGTGAACCCCTGACTTGACACCACGACGGTAGATCAACTGTATACCCAGTGGCCTGCAATGTCGCACTTCCTAACTGTGCTTGGCCCAGGGCGACTCGTTCGCTCCGCTCAGCTGCGCAGATAAACGCCCGTCACCTCAACAAGCTGGGTTAACTATCGTCTGTTCCGATTGGCACGTGCCATGAACTGAAATTGACATCGTGCACGTGGACTGATTTACACCGTCGTTTTTAGGCTTTGGTAGGGACAGTTGACGTAATAATGTGAGTTTGACTTTAGCCAAGCATAAATATGTAACTTCTTCAGCGAAACGTCACACTAATTGTAATAAAGACGTTGTTCGTCCATAGAACTTGTCTTTCTTCATAAATATATAGTTTGACCAGTTAAATAACCTTACGACCTTTTTTATATATATATTATGTTAAACGCTCTATTCAATTTCTAATTACACGACAACGATTACAGAGTAAATTCTGCCCGTGAGAATGAAAAGTCTGCAGGAAATTGCCTTAATTCCTAACACATAAACGTAAAGTTGGCAATAAAGTTGTGTTTAACGAGAGAAATCGATAGCCGTTTGTTGCACGGTGATCCCAAGTGCCTATTAAAGACAAAAATATCACTTGTGAGAACCTAACCCGATAAAAGTCTGCGTGTGCCGCAACACCTGGCTGTGTTCACTAAAGTACATTAGGTGTGTCTGCATACAATCCATGTGGTGGGGAGGGGGACAGGGGTTGAGAGTTAATGTGACCAATACCCGAAATCCCTACCTCTTACAGTTAGGGTTTTTAATCATAGTTAAAATTATCAATTGACTATTGGAAGTTTATAGGGGAAGTATAGAGGTGTAAATGTATTAGAACACTTAAACTTGCCAATTGGACTTATGTTTTTAAAAATACACCACACGCCCATCAGTCTTGGATGCGGATGGTGAACTGGCTGCCCAAAACGGGCATTACCATACGCAAATTGCTTAATTTATTATATGCATTCATCATGCGCTGTGATTAGACCAGGCAGTCCTCCGTTTCCAAAATGTAGTCTTGGCGCTAGCTGCCTCAACTGTGGTACTCTAAGACTCCCAAATAATGTGTTCATGCATTTCAATATGCTTGCATACTTACATTGTCCAACAAAAGTGGGACTCAGATCCGCCCGGCTTACTCCGCAATCTACATTCTGACGAGCAGTACTGGAGTAGCGATATACCAGTCACATTTTAATCCTGTCTCGCAAGATCCGGTCACCAAGAGTTCGTATAAAATGGCGATCGTTTACCGTATCATACATAAAACGGAGCTCGAGGGAAAGAGCATACATTTATAATATTTTTTTAATGTTTTGTTGTGCTGCTTCATGGGATTGTCCACATGTATTTATCCCAGATGCCGAGATGGCATTTATGGTAGAGCCGAGCCGAGTGACAAAAGTGTGTCTTACATTGAGGCAATTAGCGCATCTCGCGAACAGATTGGGGCAGTCACCGTGGTCTAGTGGATAGAGCGTCTGCCCGGAGAGAGGAAGGTTGGTGGTTCGATCCGAGATCGCGCCATACCGGAAGACGTTAAGAGATGGTACTTCTTTGACGCTCGGCATTAAGGTGATAGATCAAGGACTGATCGGCTTGGAGTGATGTCTGAGTGGGGTATCCATGTTAAACGGCGGCAAAAATGTTAAGAGTCCGGACTAGAACAAGCAGCAACACACACACACAAGTGCATGCACGTCGCTATAAAAGTGCAACATTCTTGGCCGCGCGACGCTAAACCCTATTTCACCTCACCATAAATTTGGTGAACTAACAGTTTTCCCGATAATGTCATATTTGAACACCTCAGGCATACACCAATCTATTTACAGGAGGCGGCCTTAGGGCTTCTTTCGGCACACATTATTTTTTGTCACCCTCCATGACTTTAGCATTTTTTAATAGGCCACATATTGTACATTAGCGTTGGGAATCATTAACAGAAAATAACTTATGGTAATTTAGTGGTCTATTTTTTTTTAATTTATCAATTGTCAGTACACCGGTAAAATATTAATATTGCTTGCACTGTATAACACAAACATACTCAACTCAAAACGCGTTCAATATTACCCAATCGTTAGCATGATATGTTCTATAGACGTGATGATCTGGCCAGGGTCACAACACACTTGAGGTAGAAGACAACAGTGTTAACCATGGAAACAACTCACCTGTACCTTGTTGCTATCTGCGACTTGAGTGCGCACCTTTATCTGCCGCAGGTGGGCCCTTCTCACACCTGTCACGTGGTTTGTCACGAAAATTTATCATACGATTTGACCAATTTAAGAATGTCGACCTGTCGAAACCAATAACTGTTTACGTCATTTGCGAGCTATGTATTATTCCTTCACGACACAAAACGATAGTATCATAGCTTAAAAAGAGGACAGTTAATATATTGAGTCTTGATAGTCTCAAGTAACGTCTTGACCAGTTTTATGTTTAAGCCAAATTTACTCCACTCTACATGCAATCGTCCATCATAATATCAAGATATTTGACTCGGCGAAATGAAATATTCACTCACTAAATCGACTCTGTCACCCTCATACTCGATCTTGCCCTCGTCCTTACCCTTACCCTTACCCTCATTATCATCTTCGCCCTGCCCCTCAACCCTCCTCTCGCCCTGCCCGTGTTCCTAATCCTCGCCCTCACTCTCGCCCTGCTTATCATCCTCATCCTCGCCCTGTCCCTCACTCCCACCCTCGTCCTCTTACCAACACCATCGCCCTGCCCCTCACCCCACCCTAATTTTCAACCTCACCTTCAACCTCGCCCTGCCTCTGTTCCTCCACCTCACCCTCATCCTGATCTTGTTCCTCACCCTCACCCTGTCCTTGTTCCTCTCCCTCACCTTCGCCCTGCCCTTGTTCCTTACCCTCACCCTCACCTTCACCCTGCCATTGTTAATCACCCTCACCCACCCCTTGTTAATCACCCTCACGCTGCCCTTGTTAATCACTATCACCCTGCCCTTGTTCCTCACCCTCAACTCACCCTCGTCATGCCATTGTTTCTCACTCTCACCTCACCCTCGTCCTGCCCTTGTTCCTCACACCTCGCCCTGCCCTTGTGCTTTACCCTCACCCTCAGCTTCGCCCTGCCATTGTTAATCACCCTCACCCACCCCTTGTTAATCACCCTCACGCTGCCCTTGTTAATCACCCTCACCCTGTCCTTGTTCCTCACCCTCACCTCACCCTCGTCATGCCATTGTTTCTCACTCTCACCTCACCCTCGTCCTGCCCTTGTTCCTCACACCTCGCCCTGCCCATGTTCCATACCCTCTCCCTCACCCTCACCCTCATCCTGCCCTTCTTCCTTACTCTCACCCTGCCCTTGTTAATCACCATCACCCTGCCCTTGTTAATCACCCTCACCCTGCCCTTCTTCCTTACCATCACCCTGCCCTTGTTAATCACCCTCACCCTGCCCTTGTTGATCACCCTCACCCTGCCTTTGTTAATCACCCTCACCCTGCCCTTGTTAATCACCATCACCCTGCCCTTCTCCCTTACCATCACCCTCCCCTTGTTAATCACCCTCACCCTCCCCTTGTTAATCACCCTCACCCTGCCCTTGTTAATCACCCTCACCCTGCCCTTCTTCCTTACTCTCACCCTCCCCTTGTTAATCACCCTCACCCTGCCCTTGTTTATCAACCTCACCCTCCCCTTGTTAATCACCCTCACCTTGCCCTTGTTAATCACCCTCACCCTGCCCTTGTTAATCAACCTCACCCTCCCCTTGTTAATCACCATCACCCTGCCCTTGTTAATCACCCTCACCCTGCCCTTCTCCCTTACCATCACCCTCCCCTTGTTAATCACCCTCACCCTCCCCTTGTTAATCACCCTCACCCTGCCCTTGTTAATCACCCTCACCCTGCCCTTCTCCCTTACCATCACCCTCCCCTTGTTAATCACCCTCACCCTCCCCTTGTTAATCACCCTCACCCACCCCTTGTTAATCACCCTCACCCTGCCCTTGTTTATCAACCTCACCCTCCCCTTGTTGGTCACCCTCACCCTGCCTTTGTTGATCACTCTCACCCTGCCCTTGTTAATCAACCTCACCCTCCCCTTGTTAATCACCATCACCCTGCCCTTCTTAATCACCCTCACCCTGCCCTTCTCCCTTACCATCACCCTCCCCTTGTTAATCACCCTCACCCTCCCCTTGTTAATCACCCTCACCCACCCTTTTTTAATCACCCTCACCCTGCCCTTGTTGATCACCTTCACCCTGCCCTTGTTCTTCAACCTCACCTCACCCTCGTCATGCCATTGTTCCTCATCCTCACATCACCCTTGTCCTGTCCCTGTTCCTAACACCTCACCCCCGCCCTGCCCTTGTTCCTCACCCTCGTCATGCCATTGTTTCTCACTCTCACCACACCCTCGTCCTGCCCTTTTCTCACACCTCACCCTCGCCCTGCCCTTGTTCCTCTCCCTCACCTTACCCTCGCCCTTCCCTTGTTCCTCTCCTTCACCTTACCCTCGCCCTGCCCTTGTTCCTAACCCTCACTTTACCCTCGCCTGCCCTTGTTCCTCACAATCACCTTACCCTCGCCCTGCCCTTGTTCCTCTCCCTCACCTCACCCTCGCCCTGCCCTTGTTAATCACCCTCACCCTGCCCCTGTTGATCACCTTCACACTCACCCTGCCCTTGTTAATCCCCCTCGCCCTGCCCTTGTTAATCACCCTCACCCTGCCCTTGTTAATCAGCCTCACCCTGCCCTTGTTAACCACCCTCACCCTGCCCTTGTTAATCACTCTCACCCTGCCCTTGTTCTTCTCCCTCACCTCACCCTATCGCCGCGAATAGCTGCAAAATTGCTGATGCGGCGTTAAGCAATATTCACTCACTCACTCACCTCACCCTAACCTCACCCTCGCCCTGCCCTTGTTTCTCTCCCTCACCTTACCATCGCCCTTCCCTTGTTCCTCTCCTTCACCTTACCCTCGCCCTGCCCTTGTTCCTAACCCTCACCTTACCCTCGCCCTGCCCTTGTTCCTCACCCACGCCCTGCCCTTGTTCCTCTCCCTCACCCTCGCCCTGCCCTTGTTCCTCACCCTCACCTCACCCTCGCCCTGCCCTTGTTCCTCACCCTCACCTCATCCTCACCCTGCCCTTGTTCCTCATCCCCGCCCTGCCCCTCATCCTCAACCTCACCCTCGCCCTGCCCCTCATCCTGGCCCTCGCCCTGCCCCTTCACTTCACTGGTCACCGGGATATACGGCGTACGAAGCATGTCCTTCAGCTAGCCAGGTTATAATTTCAGTAATAAGGCTATGTGCTATTTATTCGAGAAAGGCAAAAGCTAAGAAAACACGGTTCGTATGTGTCATTCGTCATTTAAATGTATAATATTTTTATCTAAATGATTATTATGTTCGTGAGCCTAAGACCTTATTACTGAAATAAACTCTAATAACGTAATCACTTGATTCCAACGACTGATAATTTGGTTTCACACTTTTCGGTGAGATTTGCCGCGAAATAGCCCCATGTACGAGAAGAATAAGTGTAAAAAAACATTGTAAAGTAAAGACATGTGCACCTGGAAAACCAAGTGTATGTGAACCGGAGCCGGTCACCAAGTGACCAGAATAGCAACTGTTCTGTCATGTCAGGGCCCGAGTGTACTTTACTACCACCATCTACCTTCATGCAGAATCCTTATTCCGGCATAAAACCTCTTAGATTTACATGTGTGCCTCTCTCGGCGCATGCTCGACCCCCTTTTGGTGACGAACATGACGCCTTGTAGCACTAATTCCCTGCTCTTCCTGACAATCAAAATGACGTGTAAATCGATTCATCTTCCTTCAACTGTGAGATTAAAAAATGAACTCTCCACAATCTAGAACCCGAAAGTTCATTCACTTGGCCGCAACCCACGTGGTCCACTTGTGTCGTGACCCCAAGGCAGCCTGTCTGTCTTCAGAGCCTCGTGTTCCCAAGGAGGCTCATATGGTGTCCATTATTTGTAATTGTCGTTAAATACGATTGAAATATTGTCAGCGACGGCTTAAAACCCCACGTCCTCATTTTGATTATTATTGATAATCCGACAGGTCATTCTTTCATGTTGCGTTATTACCTACAAGGATAAAGCCGCACTATGTATTACCTACATGGATGAAGCCGCACTATGTATTACCTACATGGATGAACCGCACTATGTATTACCTACATGGATGAAGCCGCACTAAGTATTACCTACATGGATGAAGCCGCACTATGTATTACCTACATGGATAAAGCCGCACTATGTATTACCTACATGGATAAAGCCGCACTATGTATTACCTACATGGATAAAGCCGCACCATGTATTACCTACATGGATGAAGCTGCACTATGTATTACCTACAAGGATGAAGCCGCACTATGTATTACCTACATGGATGAAGCCGCACCATGTATTACCTACATGGATGAAGCCGCACTATGTATTACCTACAAGGATAAAGCTGCACTGTGTATTACCTACATGGATGAAGCCGCACTATGTATTACCTACATGGATGAAGCCGCACCATGTATTACCTACATGGATGAAGCCGCACTATGTATTACCTACATGGATAAAGCTGCACTGTGTATTACCTACAAGGATGAAGCCGCACTATGTATTACCTACAAGGATGAAGCCGCACCATGTATTACCTACATGGATGAAGCCGCACTATGTATTACCTACAAGGATGAAGCCGCACTATGTATTACCTACATGGATGAAGCTGCACTATGTATTACCTACAAGGATGAAGCCGCACTATGTATTACCTACATGGATGAAGCCGCACCATGTATTACCTACAAGGATGAAGCTGCACTATGTATTACCTACAAGGATGAAGCCGCACTATGTATTACCTACATGGATGAAGCTGCACTATGTATTACCTACAAGGATGAAGCCGCACTATGTATTACCTACATGGATGAAGCCGCACCATGTATTACCTACATGGATAAAGCCGCACTATGTATTACCTACATGGATAAAGCCGCACCATGTATTACCTACATGGATGAAGCTGCACTATGTATTACCTACAAGGATGAAGCCGCACTATGTATTACCTACATGGATGAAGCCGCACCATGTATTACCTACATGGATGAAGCCGCACTATGTATTACCTACAAGGATAAAGCCGCACTATGTATTACCTACAAGGATGAAGCCGCACTATGTATTACCTACATGGATGAAGCCGCACCATGTATTACCTACATGGATAAAGCCGCACCATGTATTACCTACATGGATGAAGCTGCACTATGTATTACCTACATGGATGAAGGCGCCCCATGTATTACCTACATGGATAAAGCCGCACTATGTATTACCTACATGGATAAAGCCGCACTATGTATTACCTACATGGATAAAGCCGCACTATGTATTACCTACAAGGATGAAGCCGCACTATGTATTACCTACATGGATAAAGCCGCACTATGTATTACCTACATGGATAAAGCCGCACTATGTATTACCTACATGGATGAAGCCGCACTATGTATTACCTACATGGATTAAGCCGCACTATGTATGACCTACATGGATGAAGCCGCACTATGTATTACCTACATGGATGAAGCCGCACTATGTATTTCCTACATGGATGAAGCCGCACTATGTATTACCTACATGGATGAAGCCGCACTATGTATTACCTACATGGATGAAGCCGCACCATGTATTACCTACATGGATAAAGCCGCACCATGTATTACCTACATGGATGAAGCTGCACTATGTATTACCTACATGGATGAAGGCGCCCCATGTATTACCTACATGGATAAAGCCGCACTATGTATTACCTACATGGATAAAGCCGCACTATGTATTACCTACATGGATAAAGCCGCACTATGTATTACCTACAAGGATGAAGCCGCACTATGTATTACCTACATGGATAAAGCCGCACTATGTATTACCTACATGGATAAAGCCGCACTATGTATTACCTACATGGATGAAGCCGCACTATGTATTACCTACATGGATTAAGCCGCACTATGTATGACCTACATGGATGAAGCCGCACTATGTATTACCTACATGGATGAAGCCGCACTATGTATTTCCTACATGGATGAAGCCGCACTATGTATTACCTACATGGATGAAGCCGCACTATGTATTACCTACAAGGATGAAGCCGCACTATGTATTACCTACATGGATGAAGCCGCACTATGTATTACCTACATGGATGAAGCCGCACTATGTATTTCCTACATGGATGAAGCCGCACTATGTATTACATGTACCTACAACGATGAGGCCGCACCATGTATTGTGGACACGTGTCCTGTAATTGTTCTTTTCGGTCCCTGGCCGATTTTTGCGCATGCAGATGGACCTGCGGATGGAATAGCCCCTGTTGTGACGTCACATTAGATTGTGAACTCCGTGGAATTCCCTAGCTTTGGGATCCGTGAATACGTGTTGAAATAACTGCGGAAAAGTGTAAACGAAAATTTATACGGATGCGTGCATTAGGGGGCAAAAACAAACAGACAGGTGTGATCTCGGCTTAAGCCGGAGGATCTATCGACGTCTCGCTCTTTCTCATTAAAATGGCACGTGTACGTTTCAGGAATGTGAAAAAGTAAATTTCCTAATTTATGTTCTTTACTCTTTCCGCGAAACCAAACCATTCGGAAAACACTATTTAGGATGATTTCAACAGAAATATAATTAGAGAGCAAATGAACAACAGATAACTGTTAGACCTAAGAACAAACGTTGTTTTCTTTTTCTTCAGCCTTCTGTTTAAGCATTTATTTAAAATACCAACTTTCAACAAAAACATTGTTAGCTACAAGTAATATTTCCTAGAAACATTGTTACATACCGCACAAGGGGCAGTCGGGTAATCTGGTGGTTAAAGCGTTCGCTTGTCACGCTGAAAACCCGGGTTCCATTCCCGACATGGGTACAATGTGTGAAGCCCATTTCTGGTGTCCCCCGCCGTGATATTGCTGGAATATTGCTAAAAGCGGCGTAAAATCAAACTCACTCACTCACTCACTCACTCACTCACATACCGCACAACAAAACTGTGATTGCATGTATACACTTTTTCTTGTAACTTCAATATTATGCAAAATCTACGCAAATGTTTGGTAGAATTATCAACAAAATTAAAAAGAAAACATTTCTTATTCTTCCAACGTTTTATTTATGTTTTTTCTTTAAAGGATGCACATGTGATGCAGGTTCCATCTGTATTGTCCAATGAACATGGCCATGAACAGTAAAGTGAATGAGTTTGTTATTTCAAAGAATGTACCTATTATCTGAAATTTCAAATCATCTTTCTCATTATCAAATGTCAGGAGACCAGAGATTCGGGTTATAATAGGTCTTCAGCAACCATGCTTTAAGTAAGAGGCGGATATGCTTGTCGTAAGAGGCGACTAACAGAATCGGGTGGACAGGCTCGCAGACCTGGTTGATGCATGCCATCGTATCCCAATTGCCTAGATCGTTGCTCATGATATCAATCACTTGATTGTCTGGTCCAGACTCGATTATGTACAGACCGACGTCATATGGCTGGAATATTGCGAAGTGCGACGTTAAACAACAAACAAACAAATGTCATGACATAAATACCATAAAGGAAATATTAATATTTACCTTAACAACACTGGAGTGTGACTATCTTGTGTGAAATTCAACGATGACTGTCAAAAGACGGGTTTTCAGGGCCACAGCTGGGAATGCATAATCACGTGGACTCATAAAACAGCTGTTGGGACTGCTAATGGATTCTGGATGTAATTGTGTA